CTCTATTAAATAGAGACATTTGAAAAAGTATGAAGAAAGACACGTAGCTAACATGGCACTCTTGGTTACCACAGCCTTGGCAAGCAAAATGGAGTCTTATGGTACTATGATGTACAGTTTAAAAAACTTACCATGGGCACTAGCCCAGGGAGCTTCTTCTGCAAGTTTCCTGATCTCCTCCAAGTGACAGCTACATACTAGCTGTGTTGCTAAACAAAATAGGAAACCCACATACCTCAGTGTGTGCTGCATAGTTAAAAAAAAAAAACTTTCAAAGACCCTGGGAAATCACAGAATTTTAATTAATGGTGGCTAAATTCATACAGTGTGTTTACTGTAATCCATACCGGCCCACACCTACCCTGTTACTTATAAACACACACTCCGCATTATACTCTTTACAGAGTTACAAAACAACCTTTAATACAGTGGCTTTTATTTCCTCACCATTTGGTGATACTTGAGGAGTAAGGGCATGTCTGGGCAACCCAGACTGGATTTAAAATACAAGGTAGGAGAGAAGATAAGCAGCAGTGGAGCACTAGAGATAATTAGCACATACACAGAGCTTTCATATACTGTGAATCTGTATGACCAATTCTCCTTTGGCCCTCACCAAGCCCAGGTAACCTCCTCACACCCAGTGCTAGCTTCACAAATCCCAGCACCTAACATCAGCCATGTGGTTTTGGTTTTCATTTTTTTTCCTGGCTACAGTCTCCTAGAATCATAGACATGTAGGACCGGAAGGGACCTCGAGAGGTCATCTAGTCCTATCCCCTGCACTCAAGGCAGGACTACGCAATAGCTAGACCATCCCTGACAGGTGTTGTCTAACTTGTTCTTAAAAACCAGTAATAATGGAGATTCCGCAACCTCCCTAGGCACTTTGTTCCTATGCTTAACTACCCTGACAGGAAGCTTTACCTAATGTCCAACCTAAACCTCTCTTGCTGCAATTTAGGTCCATTGCTTCTTGTCCTATCCTCAGGGGTTAATGAGAACAATTTCTCTCTCCTCCTTTTAACAACCTTTTATGTACCTGAAAACTGTTATGTCCCCTCTCAGTCTTCTCTTCTCCAGACTAAACACTTTTTTTCAATCTCCTTCATAGATCTTTTTCTAGACCTTTAATCGTATTTATTGCTCTTCTCTGGACTTTCTCCAATTTGTCCACATCTTTCCTGAAATGTGGTGTCCAGTAATGGACACAATATTCCAGTTGAGACCTTATCAGCGCAGAGTAGAGTGGAAGAAGTACTTCTTCTATTTTGCTTACAACACTCCTGCTAATACATCCCAGAATGTTGTTTGCTTTTTTGGGGGTGGGCGGGTGGGTGGGTGGGTGGGGGGTAACAGTTACACTGTTGACTCATATTTAGCTTATGATCCACTATGACCCAAGTACTCCTTCCTAAGCAGTCATTTCCCATTTTCTATGTGTGCCACTGATCACTTCTTCCTAAGTAGAGTACTTTGCATTTGTCTTTATTGAATTTCATCCTATTTACTTCAGACCATTTCTCCAGTGTGTCCAGATCATTTTGAATTTTAATCCTATCCAAAGCACTTGCAATCCCCCCCAGCTTGGTATTGTCTGCAAACTTTATAAGTGTACTCTCTGTTATTATCTAAATCATTGACGAAGAGATTGACCAGAACCAGAACTGATCCCTACGGGCCCTTCCAACTAGACTGTGAACACTGCAAGCACCTAAGATGGTACTTCTTGAATGATGTATTCAACTTGTTTAAGTCACTGAGACAGTTGGGTAATGACTCCAGATTGTCTAGTTATGCTGGAGACCAGCCTAATCAGAACTTATCCATATCCCCACTTTACCTATATCTAGTCACCCAGTTGCTCTTATTCCTGTTAAACCAGGCCTGATTGTACTCTTGACTTTATGTCTCTCCTCCCTGCTCCTTCCAGCTGGGGAACAATTTCATTTATACAATAGCCAAAAGCTATGAAATGGACCAGTTTATAGGATGAAGCTATTGAAAAAGCATAAGCCAGAATTGCAGTTTAACACGGGACAAGCTAGTCACATTTTTCCACTGAAGTTTTGACCACTTTGAACAGCCTACCCTTGAAGGGATGCAATCTAGTCAGTTTCAAAGAGCAATTTAAGTAGTGGTTTCAAGTCTCACACCTGCCCCTAAATCTTCCTACCAGTTTTGGTGGTGTTGTATTGTTGTTTCTTTTAAATAATTGAAAAAGGTTTTAAACTCATGTGGCCTGAAGGACGGTCAAACAAGAGAAACTGATATACATGGGAAAGTGGGGGTACATGACCCGTCAAATGCAGAGAACAAATCGCAAGGAGAAATTATTTCTCAGATCTCAGTCAGATTAGGGATTACTCTGTTACAAAGAGCAGATAAAAATAAAATAAAATAAAATAAAATACAAACATAGGTGATGGAAGCTGCTGTCCCTTTAGGGAGACCACTCTATTGTACAAGCCTCTAGGAAAGGACCAGATTCTGTCCTTCACTTAGATGGATTGGGACAGATCTAAGGTTAGTGACAACCTTGAGACTTTCATGATGGAATCCAGCATCTATAGAAACTGTACTTCACTATCCCTGCTCCTCCCTTTTCCCTTCATTCCCAATATATCAAAGCATTCCTTGCTAACCTCCCCACCCCAGACCCGCACCCAATTTATGAGAAATAATTCAGAGCAGGATAATATGCAGCACTAAATTAAAGGCCACTGAGTTTGTGCCAATTAAAATTACATTCAGTACTTCTCAACTTGATGAATGTATGGCATATTCCATTACAGAAAAGTAGAAGCATTTCTGAACCTTAGCCCTGAGGCTGTCACGGAGTGTGGGGGAGTCAGGGAGAGCTGCACCCTCACTTCCTGCGATTCACCGTGACTCTCAGCCAGCCAGTAAAACAGAAGGTTTATTAGACGACAGGAACACAGTCCCAAGCAGGGCTTGTAGGTAGAACCAGGACCCCGCAGCCAGGTCCCTCAGGGGGGCAAGGAGCTTAGACCCCAGACTTGGGGTTCCCTGCATCTTCCCAGCCAGCCCAAAACTGAAACCCCCTCCAGCCGACTCACTCCCCTTCCCCGGCTCCTTCTCTAGCCTTTGTCCCGTTTCCTGGGCAAAGGTGTCACCTGGCCCCATCCCCTTCTGGCTCAGGTATCATCCCTCAAATAAAGTCATCCCCTACTATCTCATCCCCAATGCAGACAATCCCAGTAAAACTAAACGACATTCCCAGGTCAATCTGCCCCGCTCCCTACTACGTCACAGTGTCACACTGGAGGGGGGAGGCAGCTTGGGTTGAGATCCAGCTTTATTTGTGATTATTCCAGACTACAACTCTCACAGGAAGAATTCTGATCTCAATTGCAACTGCCTTTGGGCCTGGCAGTCTAGTGGGAGCATAATACTCTGGCTAGGGGTGAGGAATAAGGGGCGCAGAGAGAAGTCCAGCTCCCCAGCCCAGACACTTGCTCAAGGCTGCACTATCAAAGCCACATGCTCAACCTCAAGGGAGGGAGGAAGGGTCACACATCACATGCTATAGCAATTCTCCAGTGGATGAAGAGAATGGCACCTAATGGCCACAGGGAAAGTATGCCTGTGTGGAATTCTCAGGGCAAGGGGCAGACAGGAACCCCTGGAAGAACATAGCACTAGTTATACGCTATAAAACTCTAGTAAGGTGAGCTGATCTGGATCTTGCAATCTCTGATCTTAGGGATTTCCCAAGGATTGGCTCAAGTTAATTCTACTGCCATCAATGGGATGTGACATGACAGCTGGAGCCAGGGGTTTAATTCCCCCAAACACTGCTCAGCCCAGGCAAAGAATGTTTTCCCTATGTAAGCATTCGTAAGCAGCCAAAAATAGCACAATTAAGTTACACCAGTGGGGCAGTGTCCCACAGTGGCTCTTAATCAAGATCAAGACTGTACTCTCATAACAACAACAACAAAAGACAAAAACATCATCTCTCCAAGTCCAAATGCAGCCACTTGAGAATCAGGTACAGCTTTGGATGCACTGAAGCCTTGTCAGCACAGTAAGTAGTCTCAAACAAGCACAAAATAGGAGGGGGAGATTTAATAGCCATACCACTGACCTGCCCGTGTTTACCGGGGTATGCAGGGGACACAAGGAAGGCCAGCATTGCCATTGGCTGTGGCTATGTCTGCAAGATTTTAGAGAGATGTCCATGAAAAATCAGACATCTTGAAGCAGAAGGGATGAAGTTGGGCTATAGTTTATAGAACGTGAGAACCATTAGCCTTTTCAGTCACCTTTATACAGCTAGGAACCCACAGCAATAAACCAAGCTGATACTTCATCCTGGTACATCTAAAAGCACTGTTTTAGAACAGAGGAGCATTTGGCCAAAGACATATTGTGTGTGTGGGGAGGGAGGAGGAAGGGAAGACATCACCTTTTTTAATCTAGGGCTTGATTTTCAGATGTGCTGAGCATTCAGTTCCAGGGGAAGTTCATAGATCTTCAGTTGCTCAGCCCCTCAAAATTAGGGCATGTCTACACCTCAGTGTGTACCACAATGCCTACCTGGCAATTTTTACCCATGATAATGCATGGAAAACTAGTGTAAGTATGTCTATCAGAAGAGCAGCACACCTCAGCCTGCAGGGTAGACATGCCCCTTAGGCTGCTAACTTTAGGAGTCCATAAATTTGAACGTTTAGTGCAAGATTTCGGTACGCATGTCATTTTTTGCACCATTAAGTATCCTACTAACTTGATGCAAACTACTATAATATGCAGTTCTGAGGTGCATAGGTGTACCATAGGTGTAACTTCTTTAGTGGTTTAGATAGCTACTGAATTTGAGTCTAACTGTATTTTTACACACACAGGCTGATCTCAAATATTGCGGGGTGGGCGGGGGAGAGGAGAGAACAAACCTCAGAAGAAAAGTGCAAGCAGCCTGTCTTTCTAACACTAAGTTGTCAAAGCCAATGAGGAAGAGGAAAAAAGGTACTTACACAGCTTCCACCTTCAAGTCATCTTCATCGTCCTAAGAGAGATGTAGGTAAGGGTTGCCGGACAGAACTTGTACCCCGTAAGAACAAAGAACACAAACGTTGCCATTTCATCCAACAGCTGCAAGTAAAACAGGAAATCGAAGATTGTTCTCGTGACCCCATATTGTCATGACACATTAACCTAATAAGGGCTTCTTGGCCACTAAATATTGCATCCTATGAATGAAAGCAGAGATGCAACAAAGTGTCCCCCCACCTTACTGCTGTTAATCGCTGGACAAAGAATGTTAGCCCTCTGATTTTACTGCATTCCGTGTCATTTTAAATATAGTTAGAATTCCAAATGTCATTTCAGTACTTTTAAACAACTACAGCAAGACTTTGCTTTAAAGGGAAAGAGATGCCCCCTATGTCGTTTGGCACCACCAACAGTTAATGTATTCCAAAGATCCCTGCATGGTGGCTTGGATTATACTTTAAGAAACCATGTATTTTAAAGTCACTAAGCAAATAAAGACTGTAGATGGAGAAGTGAAAGCTCATTTGACTGGCTCCCTGGGGTCTCAATTACCACAGGGCAACCCGTAGCCTAATTTTTTTTTCCTTTGTACACTCTTGATTAATTTCCTTCAGACATTTTAAAATCAAAAAACAAAAATTCAATAATGTAATTACTTTCAGACGTCTCGCGTATAATCCAGCAACCTTGCAGGACAAGCATGAAACTTAAAAACCCCAGCCTCTTTCCTTCCCCCATGCCCTCAGGAGTACCAGTGCTCAAGATTGGCAAAAATCAGATCTCAGCAGCAGGCTTTGAGAAGTTATATTACAATGTGGAAAAGCACCTCTGATTTTTTATTTAGTTACAGTTAAAAATGAATGAGAGAGAGAGGGAGGGAGGGAGAAAGCGTGGATAAAATTTTCCACTGGAATGGAACAGCAAACTTGACAACAATTGGAATGACCTGTGTGAAGTAAATGTAACATACAATCTATGGAAGGAGGAGAGGGGACAAGAGCAAGAGGGAGAACAATGGCATCATCTTTTTATAACCTCTTATTCAATGAAGAAATATTTCAAGCAAAGAGTTACCTGGGAAATATGTCTCATTAGAGTTATGACACTATTTGACACATAAGACAAGGGACAATTCTGTGACTTGAAACCTAAATGACTCAACATATTACTCACATATAAAAGAGTCCCTTATATTTCAGTGGGAACATACAAGAGTTTCCATAGAGTACCAAAATCAAGAGCATAGTCTATTACCCCTATGGGTTATGAAAAATGTTTGAAAGCAGGCAAGTGAAAACTACTAAGAGGTCAGTTCTCTCTTGGGATGTGTGTGCGCAGCTTCCATTGACTTCAACAAGACCTGCATGCATGTATCCCAAGGCACAATTTGGCCCCAAGCTTAATTTTTAGTATGTTTACACTACATTGTTCTAAAGCCAACAGTGCAGTCAGCAAAGCTCAGTCTGTCTCTGGGGGAAAGTTAGTAAATATTACAAATAGCAGATCCAATTTAAAGACAGCCAGGGGGATACTGCCACTAGGGAAAGAAGGCAAGTTATTTTCAGCTGGAAAACTGAGAGGAGAGTTTTAACAGCCTACCAAGGTGCCAGAGCATGGCATCACCATGACTTGAAAGTATCTGACTGTTCTCAACCTGCCTTTACTCTAAGGTACTTGCAAATTCCTTTCTCAACCAACTGTGGTGACTATTATCTGAGTGCCGCACAATTGGCAACACTTATCACCCCTAACACCCCTCAGAAGGGACATGTATAATCCCCGTTTTACAAGTGGGGAACTGAGGGACAGAGCAACCACCCTCAACATATTTTTTGCCCCAGCAGGCATTGGGGGCTTGACCCAGAATTCCAATGGGCAGCGGGGACTGCGGGAACTGCGGGATAGCTGCCCACAGTGCACCGCTTCCAATGTCTACGCTTGCCCCGTTAGTGTGGACTCAAAGTCGAATTACTGTCCTTAGTGTGGATACACATGTTCGACTTTGTAATATCGGTTCCACAAATTCGCTTTAAGTAAAATCAAACTACTCTTGTAGTGTAGACATACCCTAAGTGACTTACCCAAGGTCATTAAGGATGCGAACCCTATTGCTAAGAACATTACAAATTAGACTGAACAGCACTTGGAGAAAGACTGTAAGGAACAGTTCTGCATGGCACTGGGAGGTGGATACAGTGGTCTAAACGGTCTTTTTCCATTTCTGACTTCGATGGCTATTCAGACATCCAGTTAAGCACATTAGCAGGCTATTGCCATTCAAATAATCAGCTACAAAATTTAGGCCATGTCTACACTACGGGCGCTGCAGCTATGTAGATGTTTCCTACAGATATAGAAGGGTTTTTCCTGTCACTGAAGGTAATTTGCCTACCCAAGTGGAGGTAGCTAGATCAACAAGCATTCTTCTGTGGACATAGTTGCATCTATAGGGGCGGTTAGGTACAGTGCTATGCAACATTCCTATGTCTGTCTACATTTTAAGTTATATATTTGCACTGAGGGCTGCTCTATAAGTTGTCCTCAAGCTTCAACACCAACATTTTGTAGGTGATTCAACCTCTTACAGCTATTGGTTCAGAACTTTGTGCAGTTTTAGGAAGACGGGCGAAAATCTGAATTTTTTTGAAAGCAAAGAATTTCAGTAAACTGATTTCTTCAGGACGGGGACCATTCTTACGGTCTCTCTACAATAACTAGCACAACAGGTCCCCCATTTCATTTGGAGCCTCTAGATTCTCCTGAAATAATCTAAATAATAATCCACCGAAGTAGGTCCAGAATGGGCTTTCTGACCCATTTTTATTCACTTCAAGCCCTGCTCACAGACAGACAGACAGACAGACACACACACACACACACACATATATAAGTTTCTTACTCACCATAATGTAGTAATGTCTGAACAGCTTCAGCTTTGCTAGGATAATAGCTGATGTGGAAAAAACACACAAGGCCATTAGGAAACATGTTAATACAAGCCACCTAAGTAACAGGCCTCTCAGGGCTTGTCTACACAGGGAAATATATCAGTCTAATTATGCACAGTAACAAGCTAAACCAGAAAAAGCCACTTGTTCTGAAATAAGTGTCTACACAGGGTGTTCTATTAGTGTAACTACATCAGTACATTTCCCCAGGTAGACAAGCCCTCAAGAGAGAGCTGAGCATTTAAAAAAATGCAGATCCTGGACAGGTTAACAGTGTCAATTATAAACCAGATTTTCTGCCACAGTCTCTGGAGGATCTGATTGTTAGGTTTTTAATGGAGCTGGCCACTACTAAACAAGAGACAGCGTGCAGTGGTTTTAAGAGCAAAGTTTGGATCTCATGGAAGCAGTTCAGTGACAATAAATGCAAACAATGCTTTCACTCCTGAGTGTCCTTAGCAAGCAACAGAGAAAAGGAAAAATCTCTCAGTGGGATGAGGAATGAGAGTGTACTGTAGTGGGGAAATACACATTTATAGCCAGAGGAAATTGCTTGGGATAAGCCATAAGACAGCAAGAACTTTATCAGAGGGGTTACTATCCATGATCTAAACTTGCCTTCATTATTGTGGTTCCCATTATTGTTAGGCCAGTATCCTGTAGGTTGAAATACTGAGGGAAGTGCCATTCAGTACCTGGTTTAGACCACTCTGGTCATAAGCCAACAGCTGTGGGATGAAGTTGTCTCACCAGCTGAACCTGCAGGGTCTATTACATCTTCTGAACATCTTATCGATGCAGCTTTCAAAATCAAGTTGGTGGTGCCCTGAACATAAACAATCTAAGAACTGACCCCACCTCATGCTCACTTCTCAGAGAGATGCATCTGTCCCAGGTCAGCAGAGTCAGGGACGCAACCTGAGTTTCCTTTGTATGAAATATGGGTGGCTGCAGAGGGCAGCCTGCCTCCCTCCCAGCTCACACAAGTCTTACGGAGTAGAATCATTCTCCAGTTCCTGCAGTAGCACTCACACATTACTGTGGTTGTTGAAAAAAAGGGGCAGAGAACGGGGAAAGAAGAGGGCTGACAATTAGTACGGGGCACTCCAGATTCCAGGAATTTTAGCTTGATCAAATAATTTCCCCAGAGGGGACAAGATCCTTTAAGACAAAATACAAGTGATTGATCCGTTCATTGGATAAGTTCTTAATGCAGTCCCGGGTCCTTAATGGGGAACCCCACTGCCTAGACCTAAGGGGAACATGAAGCCACCACAAACATTTTTCCCCCAGAAAGGGCAGTGTACACTTCATGGTCCAAGGGTCATGTTTTACCACATTGCAGCTGGCTATCATCTACATCCCCACCCCACTGCAAAGGCATGTCTCCCTCGGCATTCTGTACAGCAAAAGAGCACATTTTTGCAGTTTAACATCTATTCTCCTTTCTGTTCTTTCAGCTTGTACAGAGCAAGGAATCTCTTCTGCATCTTTTGGCAAATCTTATTTGAAGGTTTGTTTTCTCCACTGAGAATGTTGTTAGAAAGAAATCTCCATTTCTAAAGCTGATGCTTTACACATTACCTAGGCCTTATAGCATTTCAAACATTTTAATCCTCCAATACTTGACAGATCAGTAAATAAATATCTCCATTTTTGTGGACAAAGAAAACCAAAGCAGAGAGGGGTGCCCAATGCCACCAAAAATGTCTGGATCAGAGCTAGGATTAGAATTCAGAAGCAGCATGGATCTAGAAGCCAGAAACTTTTAATGTAACAAGTTTTAGATAGAAATCAGAAATCCTCCTCTCTCTCCCCCCCACGCCTCCAAATTCCTTGTCTACCCGATTGTTAAACTGCTGTCATGAGACAGCTAGCACATCTGCACCAGTTCCTGATGACTTGTGTTTCAGCCTCCCACACCTGTTACAGCTGCACTTTCCCCACTCCTTAAGGGTAGATTGTGTTGTCTCCACTGCATTCCTACAAGCCTCAGGGACAAGATGGTCTGCTCATGCTGGCGCATGTTAAGATTTCTCATGTGCCATGAACACATGGCAAACAGTCCCTCACACCTCCCTCTTTTCTCCCCAACTCCAACCAGCATCACCAAATGAATGTCTCATATGTACCAGTGACTGATCACCACTGGGTCCATTCAGACAGAATGGGGTACAGGAAGGAGGATTTTTACTAATTTAGGGACATGCGCTGGTACTCTGCAAAGCCAGACACCACAAACCCTGTGAAACGAGATGGATCAAAAGCACATCAGAACACTTTATCCACAGTGTCAGCTGAAGTCACTGAGCTCAGCTGTGCCAGTTCAAGATGCGTGGAATTTAAAATGGCCAAGTCTTAGAATGGCTAATCTGAGTTTCTCTGAGAAATGCTTCAGGGTTCACCATGTCAGGCAAGAGGGGTAAAAAAATTACAGCAGTGAAGCTTTTTCCTGTACCAGTCAGTCATGCTTCAGCCATAATTTAAGAGTGGTATTTGCAGTAATAAGCAGCCGCAGAGCACTCATGACAGATCCTTGCATTTTAGTCACAAACTATATAAGCTAAGGCCCTGGAGCTAAACGGCTTGTTGATTGGAAAGGTTATATAGGTTCTTACTGAATGCAGCACATACTGTTGTGAATCGGAAATGGAGATCAGCAACAGATGGAGCAGCTGTCAAACTTGGTTTGAGATTCAGGCTCTTACAGGTGGTGCAGGAATAACGCACGTGGCCTCCTGGTGCTTTAGTGACCTCAAGAATGGCAAAGGGTCCCAAGTGCTATAACCTACATTGGCAGTGTACACAGACATAATTTGCTTTCAAAGCAACTGAATAATGTAGGTTGCCAGTCCGGATTCCATGCAGGCTTCAAAGAAGAGAGCAAATCTGTCAAGCCTACAGAAAGTGTGTTTAGTGTCTGTCAAGAAAGCTACACTCAGTTCAGACAGCATCTTAAAGGTTTACATGGCAAGAAATGCTTTTTGCAATGGCTAAACTTAACTGGATTTTAAGTTTAACCAGACGTGACATCCTTAAATCAATCTGAAGTGACATTAGTGACATCTCCCATAAGCAAGCTTTAATACACTAACTCCTCACTTAACGTTGTAGTTATGTTCCTGAAAAATGTGACTTTAAGCGAAACGATGTTAAGCGAATCCAATTTCCCCGTAAGAATTAATGTAAATGGGGGAGGGGGTTAGGTTCCAGGGAAATTTTTTTTCACCAGACAAAAAACCATATTATATATATGTATATGTATAAAACCATATGTATATATATTATATACACACATATATACACACACACACACACACACATATATACACACACACACACACACACACACACAGTATAAGTTTTAAACAAACAATTTAATACTGTACATAGCAATGATGATTGTGAAGCTTGGTTGAGGTGGTGTAGTTAGACGGTGGAAGACGGTGGGATATTTCCCAGGGAATGCCTTACTGCTAAATGATGAACTAGCATTAGGCTGAGCCCTCATGGGTTAACATGTTGTTAATGTAGCCTCACACTCTACAAGGTAGCACGAATGGAGGGAGGGGAGACAGCATGGCAGACAGAGACAGATACACAGGGAAGCAATGCAGCATCATTAGGGCAGCCATGTTGTCACAGCTGTGACAAGAAGTGTACCTTTTAATGGGAAAGGCCTCCAAGTCAAATGTGTCACCTTTGGCCATCTCCCTGGACGCAGAGCTGGGTTCTAAGTTCCCACTACACTGAGCACAACTAAGACAATGCCAACTGGATTTAAAGTGAGATACCAGCAGGGCCGCTCCAGGCACCAGCCGAGCAAGCTGGTGCTTGGGGCGGCAGATTGTTCGAGGCGGCATTCCGCCTAATCCTAGGGCAGCACGGCCGCTTTGTGTGTGTGTGTGTGTGTGTTCATTCCGCTCCGGCCGCCCTGTAGGGGGCGGCGGCGTGGAGGACGGGAGCGCCCTGCAGCAAGCCCGGCAGGGCAGCCCGCGTCCTTCCCTCCCAGCCGACCGGAGCGGCGCAGCAGCAGGCGGCGCAGAAGTCGGGGCCGTGTGGCAGCCCCCCGCTGAAGCCCTGGCCACCCCCCTTCTTTCTCTCTCTCTCTCTCTCCTCCCCCGCTAGCCGGGGCATGTCTGCAGTGCAGGGAGTCCCCCTGCACCCTGGCTCTGGCCGCGTCGTAGGTTTTTTTGTTGTTGTTGCCTGGGCGGCCAAAAAGCCAGAGGTGGCCCTGGATACCAGTATCAAAATCTAGTGACCAAGAACTCCATAGTCTGCCTCCACATGATTAAAGCATTCAAGAAGTCAGCATGCAAGATACACATTTGAATCCCTGTTAATAGGTCTGAGATGGGGGGAGGGGGGAGGAAGCAGGACGACTAGCTCAGTGGTTTGAGCATTGGCCTTCTAACCCCAGGGTTGTGAGTTCAATCCTTGAGGGGACCATTTAGGGATCTGGGGCAAAAATCTGTCTGGGGATTGGTCCTGCTTTGAGCAGGGGGTTGGACTAGATGACCTCCTGAGGTCCCATCCAACCCTGATATTCTATGATTGGAAGTTTCACAAATACAGCTCACTTGGCTTCTGGAGTACAGACTATCAGGGACACTCTTTGTGCCATCTGTATGGATTCTCAGAGCAGCACTGGCTTCAAGTTCCGTGGAGGATGAACACTACTGTACTTTTTATATAGAACACAATTTAGCACCTAGAAAGTAAAGGACAACTTCTATACTTCAAACCCGAATTAGGGTCTCAACTTCTGATCCACAGAGCATTCTAATGAACCCACCATTGAGCAAATTACTAAGCCTCGCAACTGTGAGAACAAGAGTAGAGATTCTAAAATTTAACAGCAAGACAATGAAAGCTGACTAAGTTGTGTCTCATGGCTGTGTAAAAACCCGTTGCACATCTTGCCTCTATAGGTTTCCCTCTCCATCTCCTTTCCATTTTACAGCTTGCATCTGCTATATATATTCTGAGCTGCAGTGATCAA